GAACTCTGAAGTTTACCAAGACCAAAAGGCATTTTAGTCCAAAGACGGACATTAAAATTAGGGCTGTCAATCGATCAAAATATTTAATCGCAATTAATCGCATTTTGATCATAATTAATCACGATTAATCGCAAATTGATCGCATATTTTTTATCCATCATAAATCGATCTTTTTCAAATTGTTATACTTTTATCAACATGAGAATCAACATGAGAACAGATCGTGGATTTTCGTGGTAATGGTGGACCTACAAGGTGAATATGTCCAGTTATTGGATGATTTCAAGCAGACCAACGTCCTGCACAAGGCTAATCGGCCGACAAGCGGTAGCCACCCACTTAGCGATCGCTGTTTCAAATTTGTGTTTAGTAGAGCTCTCCATCTCCAGCTCTGCATCAGCTGTGCGCTTGGCCGACAAGTGATATTTGAGACTAGACGGACTCCGGTGGTAACTAAATTCAGCTGGGCAGGAAACACAAATGACATTTGTCCTGTCAAGAGAGCCATCTGGCAAGGCTTTGTAGCTGAACTCTCCGTTCAAAATAGTGTTCTTATCCATTATATCCTAGTTACTGCTCACAGGGATTTGTTTATGTCTGCTGCGGTATCAGTCAGTGCACTACTTCCTGATTCTCGAAACTACGGAGTGCCCCGAGGCTCACATAGCCTGGACACCTCACCAACTGTTCCTCTACAACGGCAAGAATATCCACGCAGTGTGTGTATAGTTTGGTCAAGCCAGGCTAAGGCTTGCGTTAATCGTGCGTCAAAAAAATTAGTGGCGATAAAAGTCACTTGAGTTAACGCGACAATAACGCGTTAACTTTGACAGCCTTAATTAAAATATAAAATAGCTGCTAAAATCATCACTGACTTTAACAACAACATAAAGATATACTAAAATTGACCACAATTTTCCTTAGAATGGCTAAAACTAAATTCAAATTTCTTGTAAAAATTTAGTGTTTTTTTCAAATAACCTGCTCAAGCTTTGCAGAATGAGTCCTGCAGATGCTCACGTTGCCATGACAACAAAATTGAGATTTATTGCGCAGCGTTGATTTAAAGATACTCAGATTAAATGACATCAGAACAATAAAACAGAGATGCTTGTCCTGGGTGTCTGTTTCTGTGTCAGGTTTTCTGTGGGCTGGAGGGGGAGAGGATGAAACATCTGTGTCTGTCTCAGATCTCCTGAAGGGGAGGGTGGGCTCCTGTAAGCAGGCACAGACGCACTCACATGCACAAACATACTGTATGTACATGCATACACACAATTGCATTATTATCCATCTTTATCACACTGTCATGTGAAATGAAAATCCTTATTTAGATGCAACATGTTTTTGGTCTCTTTGCACTGTAGTCACTTCATTTCCCCTCTCTCCTGTCACACTCCCCCGTACGTTTGCCATGCTCCCGCCAATTTCCTCAATGGGGTCACTTTAATCATGATGGCAGATTCATATATCCCCACCCCCTCACACACACCATCTCATAAACACTCATCTTAACACACATCTCTGGGATTACAAAAGGCAAGCCTTGTCTGAGCTGTAATTACTCTCTGGAGTTCTCTCTTCGCTCACTCCTCCTCCTCTACCCCATTATCAGAAAAATAACTTTACAGATGCAGTCAATTGAGAGACACAAACTCACAGGGGAAAACTACTTTTTGTCTCATCTCACTCCTGACACCACTTGTCAACCAGAGAGACATCACACAGGGGGCTCGATCAGAGCTTCCCTAAAACACCAAAACTTGTGGCTCATCCATTTTTTACCTCCCCTCTCTACGTTAAAAATAGACCTGAGCTGTCAACCAACCACTATTTTTTTCTCTTCCTCACTTTCCTCTGCCATTCATAAATCTGCGGCTGCAGCAGATTCCTAGGTCATTAACAATCATCTGACTGAAGTGTGCACAGACTGTTTTCTTATTTCATTTAGTGTTAAACACTGCAAACGCCGGCTCGTCAATGCAGCAAAGACAACACAATCAAAATCAACCTTAGCAGTAATTCAATGATTCTCATCTCCACAGACAGCCACACAAAATGTTGGTAAAGTGTCAGTTTTCAGATTCAGACAGTGAGTCATGACAGCTGGTTATGAGAAAGGCTGAAATTAATATTAATGCCTTCAAATGACCTACAAAAGAAAACAGGCCAACGGAGGTGACAGAATGATGTAAGATAAAAAAAAATAACTTTGTGAAATGTGAAAAAAATAACTATTGATCCCTAAAGGCAAATTCAATTGTCTGTTGTCTCACATATTGTGTCTATAAAAGTTATCTATTATTAACACAAGAGTTATAAATTCTGATGGCTGTTGGTACAAAAGATCTTCTGAATCTTTCTGTCCTGCAGCAAAGAGAGAGGAGCCGTCCACCACCATTTGGTCCATTAAGGAGTTGTGAAGTGGGTGATCCATGTTCTTTAGAGTAGACTCCACCTTCCTCAGTGTAGATCTCTCCACCACATCCTCCACTGAGTCCAGCTTGAATCCAACCACAGAGCCAGCCTTTTTCACCAGTTTGTTAAGACATATTGCATCTTTGTGTTTCATGCTTCCTCCCCAGCAGACTGCAGCATAGAACAGAACACTGTAGACACCACAGACTGATAAAACATCTGCAGCATCTTTCTACAGATGTCTATTGATCGTAGTCTTCTCAGGCAAAAGAGGTGGCTCTGTCCCTCTGAAGTCTATGTTCTTAGACCAGTCTAACTTATTATCCAGATGTACACCTAGGTATTGATATGATGTCACCACTTGAATGTCCACTCCACAGATGTTCACTGGCTGAAGAGGGGGTTTGGATCTACAGAAGTCTATGACCATCTCCTTTGTCTTTGAGGTGTTGAGGAGGAGGCAGTTTTTGTGACTCCAGTTACTGAAGGCTCTGCTCAGATCTCTGTATTCAGCTTCTTGTCCGTTTCTGATACATGCCATGACCGCGGTGTCATCTGAGTATTTCTGGATGTGGCAGGACTCAGTGTTGTATTTGAAGTCTGAGGTATACAGTGTGAACAGGAATGGTGCCAGCACTGTCCTTTGTGGAGCCCCTGTACTGCTCATTAATGTCCCAGAAACACAGTTCCCCAGCCTGACAAACTGTGGCCTTCCTGGCAGGTAATCTGTGATCCAGGAAACACAGGAAGGATCCACTCCCATCTCTGTGAACTTGTCTTTGAGTATGGTGGGTTGGATGGTGTTGAATGCACTTGAAAAGTTGAAGAACATGATCCTCACATAAACCCCAGGTTCCTCCAGATGAGACAGGGAACGGTGAAGCATGTAGAGGACAGCATCATCCACTCCAATGTGTTCTTTGTATGCAAACTGCAGGGAGTCCAGTTTATCTTTGACCTCAGACCTCAGAAGGCGTGGAATCAGCCGCTCCAGGGTTTTCATGATGTGTAAAGTGAGGGCCACTGGTCTGTAGTCATTGCGTTCATCAGGAAATTTTGTTTTTGGTACTGGCACAATGCAGGATGCTTTCCACAGGGTAGGCACCCGCCCCAGCTGTAGACTCAGGTTGACGATCCTGTGGAGAGGTTGACACAGTTCTGCAGCACAGTCTCTAAGCAGCCTTGGACACACACCATCTGATATGGGTATACCTCACTGATATGGGGTACTGGAAAGGAAATACAAAAAACATAGAATTTAACTAAATGAAGTTCGTAGGATTTGAATTTAACAATATGTTGTTTTTTTTTAATGTTGATCAATGCTGTGGAATATAATACCTGTATGAATAAATCACATAATTTACTGCAATGTTGTTGCAAACCTGATTCTACTGGGGTACACCCTCATTTAACAATTCTGCACCTTCAATCTGCTGGAAGTACAAAACCACACCAGCAGCTTCAGTCCTGTAGTCAGAACGCGTTGACTTCAGATGCAGGCTAAGTGTATCTCCTGTAGATCAGACAACTGAGATTCCCAGTGAAGAGGAATGTTCGCAGCTTTCATGAGGATTGATGTGATCAGTCTGTCGTCCTTCATCACAATCTCTGTTTATGTTTTTCCTTCAAAGTCTAAATCTGAAGTTATGCAATCGATCACTAGTGCAAGCTACAGAGACGTGATTGCTTTGGTGTTCTTGTGTAGACCTTTGTCTGCCCCCAGCGTATAAACCCTGTAAACACACACGCACACACACACACACAGGCACAGAGTTTTAATTTCTGATAGTTATCACTTATGGATGGCTCATTTATCTTTCCTTCTCTGTTTGATAAATGCACGTATGAAATACTATTTCGTTCGCAAGAAATACTGATTTGTTCGCACGAAATACTATTTCGTGACCACGAAGTAGGTATAACGTGCGCACGAAATACTAATTAATACTGTTAAAATAATTTCAGCACGGCTAGGTAAGCAAATAGAGCGCACCTCTCGGATCAAAGGTTGAGGCAAAAGCGACACAATGGACAGGGACAGTCAGATAGAATTTTATTTTAGACTGGGAATGGGCTACAAAGACATTCTGAAAAGCCTGGCATTGCAAGGAATCATCATTACCGAGAGACATTTAAACAGGATATTGAGAGCTTTACCGTCGAAGGTACGACTTGGATGCTGGGATAGATTTCATTGTTGATGAGCTGCAAGGCCCTGGAAAGAATAGCGGTTACCAGTGGATGTTTACAAAGTGTAAACAACACGTCATTTCTATCAGGAAAGAAGACGTCAGGATTCTCCTCTCTCTACTGGACCCCATCGGTTCCCAAGTTCGCCAGACCAGACGTCTCAGGAGGAGGCAATATTTTGCTCAGGGACCCAACTTCGTGTTGCACATAGACTTATATGACAAACTGAAGCCATATGGGATATGTATTAATGGCTGCATCGACGGGTTTTCACGCAACATCATTTGGCTGCGGACCGCCTTCACGAATAGCGACCTGAAAGTTATCGGGGGTACTTTGTGGAAGCAGTGGAGCACTGTGGGGGCTGCCCAAGGCTCGTACGAACTGACATGGGCACTGAGAACGTGGTGGTCAGAGACCGTCAGCGGCATCTACGGAGAAATGACATGGATGACAGAGCAGCGGAGGGAAGCTACATCACAGGAGCAAGTACTGCGAACCAGAGAATTGAGAGCTGGTGGGGAGTGATGCGAAAAGAAGGAATCGAACCGTGGATCACGCTTCTGGCAGAACTGAAGGATGAGGGATTCTTTGCTGGGGATTTCATTGACAAAGCTCTGTCACAGTTCTGTTTCATGCCAATCATTCAGGTAAATAGCCTATCAACTCTACATTACCTTCATGTAATCTTAGAGATTTAAGCCACTGAGTTTCTTTATTTAATGTGTGTGATGTATTGATTCTTTAGGCTGTTGTGAAAATAAGACACATCACAATGTAATTTAATCTACTTTTATTTGCTTAACACAAACTTTTGTTTTTCTTACTCACTGCAAAGGCAGAGAACAAAGAGGACTATGTTTCATTTATTATAGGCCCTAATCACTGTTTAAAAAAGCACTGCATGCCAGCTGTGACTGAATTGTTCTTGTTTCTTCAACAGGAGGTATTAAATGACATCCGGGGTGTTTGGAATGCTCACCGTATAAGGCCATCCAGGAACACCAACGTGCCCAGTTGGATGCCTGATGTCATGTACATGGCCCCTCACCTTTGGGGTGCAGAAGACTGCCTTGTTCCACTGACTGATGATTTAGCCACATGTAAAGACAGCTGCACATTTATCAGTTCATTACCATGTGATGTGGACATGTTTGATCTGTGCACAATAATAATGGAGGAGTCAAGCTTGGAGTTCCCTTCTACCATGTCCCAGGCACTCGATTTGTATGTTCATCTGAGGGACACAGTTCGTCCACAGTTATTTGAGGCTATTAGCGGGGCGGATAATAGCATATTACATAAGAATCGTTCACTTGCGGATAAAAGCACCAAAATTGGCGCACATACTCCTTAGGAGTTGCTCTTTTGATATTTCCGTCTGGCCAAATGAAAATTCAAGATGGCGGCCATTTTTCAAGATGGCCACCATTGAAAATATAGTAATATTGCATTTTGCAATAAAATCCCATAGACTTGTCCTATTTGGATGATCTTGGTGTCAAATCATAAATTTTCCACTCTGCAGAATCCAAATTTGGACCCATGGACTTACTTACTGGCTTCCTTGTACCATATTTCAGTCCCGGAATCCTAATATTCTGGTATTTATGAGGTTTACATTATGTCCGACTTGGGTAAAATGGTTGGTAACCTATATCTTAGTGTTGTTAGAGGTTTAGTTGTGTTAGTGTGTGTGTGTGTGTGTGTGTGTGTGTGTGTGTGTGTGTGTGTGTGTGTGTGTGTGTGTGTGTGTGTGAGAGAGAGAGAGAGAGAGAGAGAGAGAGAGAGCTGTTCAGCTTTCTGGCTGATCAGATAGCATGTGTGGCCTCACCAAATGTGGTCATTGTGACCAAGGAAGATGATGTTATCAGCAACAGTACGATTAATCTGGCTGGGGTGGCACCATGCAGTCATGAAGAAGCTGACACCCAGATCTTTGTGCATGCCAGGCATGCCACAGAAGCAGGCAGCAAGGTCATCATGGTCAAAGCCAATGACACAGATGTTGTTGTCATTGCAGTGAGTGTTCTGCAGGCACTTCAGAACCTGGGTCTGCAGCAGTTGTGGGTTGCCTTTGGCCAAAGACAGAACCTGAGGTGGATTCCTGTTCATGACCTTGTGGCACTCTTGCAGAAAAGAGCAAAGGGATGCTCTTCTACCATGCATTCACTGGTTGCAATGTTGTTTCAGCATTCCGTGGCAAAGGGAAGAAGTCTGCTTGGCAAACCTGGAATGTTTGTGATGAGGCTTCCAGTGTCTTCAGCAAACTCAGCCATTACCCACCTGTATTGGATGATGAAGACCTGAAAACCCTGGAGAAGTTTGTGGTCATGTTGTACGACAAATCCAGCACAGCTGAAGGTGTCGACAATGCAAGGTTGGACATGTTTGCTCGGAAGCAGAGGCCATACGAAGTCATTCCTCCAACTCGATCAGCACTTAAGCAACATGTCATGCGGGCAGAGAGTTGCCAGCAGCTGACCAAGTGTGGATGCAAGTCGGAATGCTGCGGTCGATGCAAATGCTACTGCTTTGGTCTGACCTGCACAGCACTGTGCTGCTGCAGGTGTGAGGTTTAGAAACGCTGTAGTAAAAGCCTACTCATCCAAACAGCCTACATGTAAAAAAAACAAAAAAAAAAACCTGCCTCGGTGGGATCACCACCTTATCGTGGTGGGGCACTTTGTGTGTCTCCATGACCCCTAGAGCCATGCCGACTGGAGTATTGTACTCCTGGCAGGGTCACCCACGCCAAACAGCTCAAAGGATAGAGACCAGACAAAGAGTGATCCCATGGTGCTACCATGCATTTTAGGTGAAATCCAAATTTATCAGAATATTAGGATTCTGGGACTGATATGTGCAGTGAGGACACACCCTTGCCCACGCACTTGCCCACCTTGCCCCCCCCCCCCCCCCCCCCCACACACACACACACACACACACATGTGCAGCACACTCTAGACCTCTAACAACACCAAGATATTGGTTACCAACCATTTTACTCAAGTCTCACATGATGTAGACCTAATTAGGATCAGAATATTAGGATTCCGGGACTGAAATATGGTACAAGGAAGCCAGTAAGTAAGTCCATGGGTCCAAATTTGGATTCTGCATAGTGGAAAATGTATGATATGACACCAAGTTCATCCAAATAGGACAAGTCTATGGAATTTTATTGCAAAATGCAATATTACTGTATTTTCATTGGAGGCCATGGCTGCCATCTTGAATTTTCATTTGGCCAGACGGAAATATCAAAAGAGCAACTTCTAAGGAGTATGTGTGCCAATTTTGGTGCTTTTATCCGCAAGTGAACGATTATTACAGTTATCTGCCCAGCTATATTTAAATGGACACAAGCATACAAATCAACTCGTACATTTGGTACTTTAGTACATGTTTTTAGAGCATAATGTACATCTAAGTAAGTGGTAAGAAATGTTTGACTCAAATAGTTGTAGCCTACAAGTAAGACAAAATTAATCTTTCAGAGTTATTAGCCTTCAATTAATATCAGTAATATTAGTATAATAGTGTATAATCAATGCTCCTCCTTTACTGAGCCTGTTTTTTTTTTTTGTTGAAGAGGTTAAAACAGTCAAATGTTTGATAAAGAACTCTGTCTTCCATAACAAATCACAGCACATTTATAACACTAGAGAGTGAGGTGTAAAATAAGTATGGATGGTGTCATTAGAAATGCTGAAGTGTAACGATGTATAGAATATAAGAGAGACAGGATATCAACATTTTTTACAAACTTGAATGGTTTACTGGTCTTATTTTTTAAAATGCACCTTTTGTCAAAACAGGTTGTATTTTGTGCATAATAACAGAATAAGAATTTTTTTAAAACCTCCTGTTAGCCAGCATCATAATGATAGTTACAAAATAATGTTATTTAAACTTTTTTAGAATGTAAACAACTGCATTATTTTTCAACACCTTTGAAACATCAGCAAAGGCTCACATTCTTGTTACTAGTGGGGTTGCTACAAACAATATTATATAATAATAATAATAATAATATAAAACATGCTTAATCAATTGGATTTTGGTATGGGAAGTGGAGCTGTATGACTGCTCATAAAATTGTAGTTTTCTTTTGGCACCAAATGGAGTATGCACCCCGGAGTGTGCATCAGGCATAGATTCACTTTAAGTGTTGGCATATGGGTGTTTAATGGCAAGTATCAAAGGAAACGACAATTTTCCCACCAGATGAAGCACTGACAATATTCCCAATGTAGTGTACAGATAAGCCAGTGTATTCTTTTGAGGTGGGACTTCTTTTAGGTGAGTAAAATATGTTTGTTACTGTGATGCTATGACCGTTCCCAGCAATGTATTGCTCTGCTTCTGTCCCAGCACTCCCTTCTGCTGTCTACTACAAGTAATACACTGACTACACATACATACCTCATACAGCTCCACTGAACTATCTCTTTAAGCTTAACATTTGATTGGGAAAGAACAAAGCAACCACTTTATAAACAGATGAAATAAAAGCCTGCACAAATAAAAGGAACAACGGGCTGCATAACAAAAACATCCAGTCTAGCAAGTAGCTGTCACATCCTTTGTGTTATTGTTTGTATTATTACCTACACCACATCCATTACCCACATTGAGCTTGTGAGAATGCTGTTAAATTCACTGCGAAAATCTGGATAGCTGTAGTAGCCAATGGGCAGCTTTAGTACACATCCACATGTGTGGGATTGTGGTCTGCGGAGGAAATCTGTGGTTTCTATGAACTCAATAAGTATGGCCTTATCCAACAGATCAGATCCTGTACAAAAACACAGGAAAAGCTGAAGATTGTTGCAATCAATTTCCCCAATGTACCTTTTCAGGTAATGAGAAACTGTTGACTGGGCTGCTGTCATCTCCTCTGGAAAGTTTAGAAGCTCCTTTACTGTTTTTGCAGTTGTTTTTTTTTTTGTGCAATGAAATGATTCAGTCCTTCTGGTGGTAGTAAACCAGTCATAGAACCCACAACAGGACGCCAGCACTTAATTACAAACATTGGGGCCTGAACGATTACTTTGTGTCCAATCTGTGACAAGACAGGGAGCCGTGTGTCCTTGGTAGGGACTTGCTTGCATTCATGTGCATCGAGTACATCCAGCAATTCATCTGTGTCCACTGAATTAAAGTCCTCCAAAGCCTTCAGAAGGACAGATCTTTCTTCTTGTGATACGTACAGCAAAAAGGAATCTTTGAAACTACTGGTTGTCGAGCCATAAAGCACCTCTTCCAGAAATGGTATTGCAAGCTTCACTGGGAAGTAACCAGCTTGTTTCCACCCAACTACAAACACCCGAGCTACAGCCTGCCATTCTTCACACTGAAAGTCATGCCTGATGAAGGGGACTTTCACCTCAACTCCCAGCGTGCAGCTGTCATAGAAATCCCTCCAAAATTCTGTCAGGCAGTCTCGCAAAACACCACTTCCTTCCCCCTGTTCAAGCCCTCCATTTGGTAAACGCATTTTGATGTTGACCTCAGATGCAATAATGTTTGGGTCCTTGAGGGCACTGATCAAGTCAGTGAGACAGTGACCTCTTCTTACAATCAGTGTTACAGGACAAGGTTGTGGTTCAGGAAGTGTTTGGGCTGGAACATTGGCCTCCCCTGC